ATGTTGGAAGAATACGTAAACTGAGGCCAGGATTGCCTCTGAGCAGAGGAAATAAATGGCTGGGATATTTTCACTACGTAACTGTTTCTACCCTTTGAATTTTCTATTAATTTAAAAACTAAATAAAAGATAATTTTTTAAAAATCCCAGTGTTGTAGAAGATTTGCAGCTCTGGTTACTCTCTAGTAGCCTTTCTTGTTAGATTGTGAATGTGTTCTTCTCCTTGGCCTAAACATACTTTCCCTTAAACTCTTTTTCTTCTCCCTTTTGGTTTGAATCCAGCCAGGGGCACCTCTGAAGAAAGGATTGGCAATCTGTTTCAGAAAGATCACAGTCATTGAAAGCCATATGGAGTACAGTTCTACTCTGAAACACATGGGGTCGCCATGAATTGGAATTGACTCAAAGGCAGTGGGTTAGGTTTTGATTTTCACCATCAAACTTCTCAAGAGAATAGTCTTCTATAATTTCTTGTCATCATCTTGTCTCCTGTAGTTACGTGACCAGTTATCCCCTGGTTATTCTCTCATGGTATCTCTCTTATTCCCAAGAGCCTGTGTTAGCTTACTTAGCCTATAAGCGTGTCAAATCTCTCATTGCTTAAAAAAAATTACTGTCCCATAACTCTTAACCCCACAGACTTCTCCAGCTAACACGTATGCTTTTTTTTTAATAACTTTCCTCCCTGATTTTAAAAATGATTGTGTTCATCTTAAAAATATAAAGAAGAAAAAATGAATCATCCACAGTGAATGTTGGCTCTTCTGTCTGGACTTCCTTTCTTCTTTCTTCTCCAGCTAACTCCTGCTCATCATGGAAGTTTTTTAAGCCTTCCCTAATTCTTTCCCCTCTGACTTTTTGCTTGCTTACATGCTCTCTCTCTCTATCCTATCTAACCTGTAGTCCTGTATTTATTTCTTCTGGTTTGTAACTAGAAATTTATATTTATTTGATTGACTCCCTCACTAGAATGAAAGCTTCCTGGAAGAAATAAGTGTATGTGTTCTCATTATTGTATACTCAGCATCTAACACAGTGCTTGGCACATAGTAGGAGCACAATGAATGAATGAAGCTTACCACTGTGTCCTGTGAATTTCCTAGCGTTCTGTACCTTCAATTATTATATTCTGCCTTGTTCCTGGAGGGCAGGGACTATTTCTTATCATTGCATCATTGCAAGACTTTATTAAGCCACCTTAATAGGCAAGGGACTGTAGAAATGGGAACAAGATGTTATTAACAAGGTATATAATTTTGAGCAAAGTCACTTAACCCCTCTGGGTCTCTGCTTTCTCTCCAGTTTGAAGTTAAGGAGTTGTACTAGATGAGCATTTTCAAACTGCCCTGTAGAGCCATAAGGATTCTTAGGATCCCTCTCCTAGGCTACCAAATTGAAATGTCAGCTTGGAACTTGTTGACTGCATGGTTTCTAAGCTCGCAAATCTGACGCTCTGAAACAGACCAAGATTCTATCCTCAAGGAGCTTGTACTCAAATTCTGGCAAGAACTGAATAATTTTTTTTTGTCAACTCCTTGATACAAAGTTGTTATTATTAGCTGCTGTCCAGTTGGCCCCTGACTTGCGGCAACCCCATGTGTTACAGAATAGAATTGCTCCAAAGGATTTTCTTTACAGAAGCAGATCACCAGGGCTTTCTTCTGTGGAACTGCTGGGTGTGTTCGAACTGCCAATCTTTTGGTTAGCAACTGATTGCAAACCACTTGTGCTAGCCAGGTTCCCTCTGATACATATTTATTGAATGAATATCAACTATATGTAAGATGCTGATGATGTTGTGTGCTGTCAAGTAAATTCCGACTCACAGCAACCCTATCAAACAGAGTAGAACTGCCTGATAGGGTTTCCTAGACTGAAATCTTCATGGGAGCAGATCTTTTCTCCTGGGGAGCCACTGGATTGGTTTGAACGAGACCTTTTGGTTACCAGCTGAGTGCTTAACTATTGTGCCACCAGGGCTCCTTTTGGTGCTGATAGGGACATGACTTTGGCGAAGACAAACCTCTTGTGAAGGTAGCCATTAGCCATATGTGGCTATGGAGCATGGAGCACTTGAAATGTGGCTAGTCTGAATTAAGATGTGCTGTAAGTGTAAAGGAAACCCTGGTGGCATAGTGGTTAAGTGCTATGGCTGCAAACCAAAAGGTTGGCAGTTCGAATCCACCAGGTGCTCCTTGGAAACTCTATGGGGCAGTTCTATTCTGTCCTATAGGGTCGCTATGAGTCAGAATCAACTTGATGGCAACGGGTTTGGTTTTTTTGGTTTTGGTTAAGTGTAAAATACACACTGGATTCTGAAGACTTAATACAAAAAAGTGTAAAATATATCATTAATAATTTTTATCTACATATTGAAATAATATTTTTGATGTTAGGTTAAGTAAAATCATTAAAATTAATTTCACCTGTTGCTTTTTTTTTAATGTGGCCATTAGAAAATTTGGAGTCCCTGAGTGGCACGAATGGTTAAGTGCTCAGCTACTATCCAAAAGGCTGGGGGTTTGAATCCACCCAGAGGTGTCTTAGAATGAAGGCTTCCGAAAGATCACAGCCATTGACAACCCTACGGAGTGTAGTTCTACTCTGACACACGTGGGCTTGTCATGAGTCAGAAAAGACTCAATAGCAACTGGTTTGGTTTTTAATTAGAAAATTTTAAATTACATACATGCCTTGCATTGTATATTTTTATTTGACAGCTCTGCTTTATGAGGTGTATAATTTAGTACAGTAATATTCAGCGTTTATGAAGTTACATACTTTTAAAGACATTGTCTCTTAAGTGTGGTCCCCAAACCAGCAGAATGGGTATTACTTGGAAGGTTATTAGAAAAAGCAGAATAGGAGCCCCACCCCAGACCTACTAAATCAGATTCTGCATTTTAAATACATCCCCAGGTGATCTGTGTGCACACAAAAACTTGAGAGGCTCTGATCTAGATTACGGTAACAGGACCCCACTTGTCTCCCTACCCATCATACTTTTTTTTTTTAACCTCTCCAGTCCGATTGGACCAGGGATTCTTAACCTGAGGGACCTAGATCCTTTGGGACTTGGAGGTCTACAGATGGGCCTTAGCAATCTGTAGAATCCTAAAATGTTATGCAAGCTGTTTTATATATCTGTATGTGCATTTTTCAGGAAAGGGGACATTGCATTTATCATGTTATTAAAGCAGTTCTGAAAGTATGGCATCAGCATCACCTAGGAAATTGTTAGCAAAGCAAATCCTCTACTGAATCGGAAACTCTGGTGGGGGGGGGGCAGCAGTCGCCTTCAGGTGATTCTGATGTTGCAAAAGTTTGAGAATTTCTGAATTAGATACTGAAGGCAAAGAAAAGGGAGAAACCACTTATTGCATTATGGTCTTATCTGGGTGACTAAGCTTGTGATGCTGCCTGGATTAGTTGGAGAATACATTTGATTTTGATATACTGGCATATGAGTTAAGAAAATGGGCTTTGTAGTCAGACCTGACTTTGAGACTCAGCTCTGTCACTTATCAGTTGGGTCGGTCTGGGCAAGTTATTTAATCTTTCTAAACCTGTTTATCCTATCTAAACCTATTCTGTCTGAAGCAGCGAAACCTAGGCTATTGCTTTGCTATGCTAATTGAAAATTATTCCTTCTTGTTTATTAAAAGAAGACCTTTTCCACACACGTATCCTATTTCAAGATGTTTTCAATACTGGAAAGTTGCAAACTGCATTTCTTTTATTCCCTAATCCACTTCACTAATTTGAACTAGTCTGCCCCCAGTTAAAGAAGCTATATTCACTTTGACTTAATCACTTTACTGCATCTCTCTAGATAACCACCTTTTGTTTCATTTGAGTAACGACTGTTTTTAGTGATAGTCACATAGATTTTTTTTTATACTTATTTATCAGTTTAAATATTTTTAATTTAAAAAGCTGTTTTAGAACACAATTCTGAATAAGGTTCGGAATTAGTTGTTTCATAGAGTGATTTTTAAAATGAGAACCAGCAAATCTGTTGCTTAGAAAAATGGATCTAGCAAAACAAAGACGAAATGAGGATGATTAGAATGGTGCTACTACTATGGTTGGAAACTTTAGAATCCTACAGTAATTGGACTTCAGTATTCAGACCTAGGGAACCCTCGTGCACAGTGGTTAAGAGCTCGACTGCTAACTGAAAGCTCAGCAGTTCGAATCCACTAGCCGCTACGTAGAAACTCTATGGGGCAGTTTTACTGTGTCCTGTAGGGTCACTATGAGTCGAAATCAACTCAATGGCAACGGGTATTCAGACCTAAACTCTGACTGCAATGGCTATTTGCCTATAGGACATGAATGATGAAAATTACAGACAGCACCAAGTAAGGCCCACAGTTAACTTTTTAACTTTTTTTTTTTTTTAATGCTTGGGCTCTGGCATTAAAACCTGGGATTGGTAAACTAAAGCCTAAATACAGCTAGCCTAAGAAAAAGGTAATTCTTTGTATAGCTCACACATACTAACAGATTTTCAAAGTATGCTTTTCAGAACGCCTACAAGGGCCTTTTGGGAGTGGGGGTAGCTAGGGATGGAGAAACTGAGGAATGGGTAGGCCGCTCCAGAGCCGGCATTCCAGAGAGCCCACTGGATTGACATGTTCTGGGACTGAAGTTCCCTTTAAACTGGGATCTGAGTATGGTCCAATAAATGGCATAAATATATACATACTTGCATAAGCCACACTTAATTTTTCAGTTCTGTAACAGAATTTCTGTAATATAAGCATGACTATTCTCTAATAGAAATCACTATGTTCCAGTTTCTTAATTTAGTTTGGCAGGTATCTCATATTTGCATCTAAGTGGTATTCACTGGCATACCAACAAGTAAATAAAAAAGCAGGGTAAGCCTCAGCTGGTTTCCAATTAAGACTTTCCTCAGTACTCAACAGTGCAGAAGCCAGGCAGACTTTCTTATAGGTATATTTAACCTCTGAATAATCAAAAGATGGCAGTGCATCAGTTCTTCATGCTGATATGCAGTAATCATTAATATGCAATTGATATGCAATAATCATTCTCTCATTTTTAAATCATGATACAGTCTTTTTGAGAACTAATTATAGTGAATTCAATTTAAATAAATGTTTAAGTGAATGAATTATACTTAGCACATTGATTTTATACAAAAGTAAATAGTCACCAATACCCAAAGTATATGATCAACATTTAGCTACAGTTGTGTTTGGTCTGGTATAGAGGACTGGGCTAAATTAACAATTTATTAAAGCCAGTTTTTTTTTTTAAATACATTTATTTACCAATGTTAACACATTAAGTGAATCTATATATTGCTAGTCAGAGCAGCTTACAAAATGCCAGAATGCATCATAGAACTGGACAGCCACAATGAGTAATTACAATGTGCATAGTGGCTAAGCTCAACACCTTAATATAGCTTTATGATTTGCAGAAATTTTTTAATAATGAGTCCTAAAACAATTGTAATTTTACCTAAAACTTTTACAAAACCAGGCCACAATCTCTTTTAATTTTGTTTTTTTTTGTTTTTTTAACACACAGTTTTCACGCTGTAGGAACTTGGAAATGTGCAACCGTGTCAACAGAGACAAAAAAGCCAAAGTAACACGAATCTTACTTTCATGCAGCTATCAGTTAAGTATTACATACTCTGGAATGATTTTACACCAAAAATATTTCCACAATAACTTGCTCTCATAGGGGTGGATCGAAGTTTTAAAACTTGAAAAACAATCAAAGAAGGTTAACTTCTGTTGGTTATAATGTATTATTATTCAATCAGTACCACAACAGTGTGGCAACATGATTAATTACACAGCAACAAGGAGTGGATAATCATTCCGAGTTACTGCATAATTTAAGTATATCATTTGAAATCGGCTACCATGTCATTATTACAAAATATTGTGCACCATTTGGCAGTAGCTTGTCAATTAACTTGTGTCACCACCATCTGCAAAAGTATCGGGATTGGATAGATGATTATTTCACAGAAGACTTAGTTACATTTTTAGAGTGACCCTGACAAACCTAGAGAAAACTTTTTTAAAGGCTTTTCTCCTGATTCTTTCACTTCCATTGTGTGTAATTGCTTTAATAAATATCAAAGATCTAAATAAATATTTACAAATTATTTCTGTAACCTCAAAAAATAACTAAATGATAAATGGGAATTTGACTTGGTCGAAGATCAGTCAGCCTTTGAAAAAACATAAATTGTGAGATATTTTTTAAAAAAAGTAATTTAACTTTTCCTGGCTGTATTTTATATATCTATGTATATTAAAAAAATCATTATTCAACTATCGATCCATTCCTATTGGTAATGCTTCTTAATCCAGACATTCCGCAAAATACAGACTTTTTACAAATCACGGCATCTTTAATACAAGAAAATTAACATGCATTATTCTTCATTCTGTGTACAGTGATGGAATTCATTAATAGGCAATGACCCATTACTACAAACATAACGGCTTCTGTGAAACTTAAGTGCTTTCTTTCCTTTTAGTATTAACTTACAATATACTAGGTGACACCAGATAATAGGCAGTCAGATGATATTGGGGGGCAGGGGGAGAAGGGAAGCATTAAAGAAATTTGAATACCTCATCTATAATTTCACGTATGGATAAAGGTAGTTTTTGGCTTTTTATTTTATTTTTGTTGTCTATTTTGTTACAAGCACTCATGTTAGGACAAAGATGAAATGTGCAAACTTTAAAATTTAAATATTCATTTTCTCTAAGATCCAGCTCAGTAAAAGATTACCCCAGTTCCCTGCAATTTTAAACTACAAGATCAAAGCTAATAATTTGTTATAAAAGTTATATATTGAAAAGAAATAATGAAAAACACAATTGGGAAATATTTAAGAAAAAATATGCAGGACTAGCACCTGCTGTGTCAACCCTGTTCCCTAAATTCAATCATATACCCACTGGCATAACCAATAGATAATGCCTTTAAACAGTAAATTAAGCTGAACAAAACCAGCTCAACAAGGTTAAGAAATAAATGTTACATCAAGGTAGTATGTTTTATTTCTGAAACAGTTCTGTAGTTCTTACATTCAGATCTATTTTAAATGTTTCTTTGTTACACTCACTTGTATTCACCTGTTGTTTTTTTTAAAGATCCTTTGTTTAAAGGTTAAAATCTCTGTAAAACCTAAAAATGTTTTAAAATTTGCTGAAAACGCAACAAATCCTCAATTAACATTTATTTAAAATAATACCCTCCACTGATGTTACTTTTACCTCCTGAAAAACTCTGGAGGAGCATTAACAAAAGAGTTAAACTACTGTGCAAAATTTCTTCAAGAAAAGTGTTTAAAGGCTGGTGCAAAATGGGAAGCAAATTCTAAACAATTTTGGCTTCTTGGAAACAAAAACCGCTGTGTCTGAGAATAGTAATCATTGGGGATGATTCTCCAGGAAGAATACAGCTTTCATCTTTTTCGGCGACAGGTACGTTTGTGTTCGGCATGCCAGTGCTCCTGCTGACACTTGATTGAGCAGTATGATGTGTTCCAACAACAGTGGTACATGGCTTCCTCTTCACAGTTGTAGCACTATAGACAGCAAACAGTGAGGAAGTTTCACGATTTGGGATTGAATGTCAGAGAAAGTGGTTAAAATTGTAGACTTTTGAAGTCATGCTTTTAAAAATACTATTAAGATTGTAACATTTCTGATTCAACCTTAAACTAGAATCACCAAGAACATTAGAATATGTTTTATATATTGAGCAGAATGAAAAGGAAAAAATGACGGGAATGACTAAAGCTGGAGCATGTATTCAGTTACCAGCAAATTCTAGTTTACCTATACTGCCAGTTTTTTTTTCATCTCTATTAGGTCATTCCCCTCAGCACACAAACATTGATAATTTCTTTTTCTTTTTTTGCTCTTGACGTCACATCCCTTTTCAGCCATCACTCCCATTTCTCTACTCCTCTTCAAAAACTCCTTGAAAGAATTGTCTATACTTGCTATTTCTAATCCTCCTCCTCCCACTTTTCCTTAAACCTATGAAGTCTTTCACCCCTACCATTTCACTGAATATGCTATTATCAAGGTCACTTATGGCCTCAAATACAGGGGTCAATTCCCAGTCTTTATCTTATTTGGAAATGTCTGGAAATATTTTTAATTGTCAAGACTTGGGGGGGGGGTGTGTGCCACTGGTTTCTAGGGGGTATAGCCCAGGGATGCTGCTAAACATCCCACAAGGTACAGGAGAGCCCCTGCCTCAACAAAGAATTTTTGGGTCCAAACGTCAGTAGTACTGAGATTTGAGAAGCCCTGATCTAAACAAAGAATGCACATAATTTTGTCAATTGATTGGACATGGAAGAAAATGGTGAAAAAGTCAAAGCTAAGGTTTTTAAGCTAAAAGAATAGTGGTATCATCAACAGACACCCAGAAGTGAGGATGAGCGGGTGTTGACAAGGAAGATGAGTGGGTTGAGTGTTGGACACTAAACACTTGAAATGGGTCAGTAAAGATATGTAAATTCTATAGACAGACAGACAGACAGATGGATAGATAGATACAGATTTTATGGTTGATGGTGAGAGTCCTGATAAGAAGACTCAGAATAGCCTATATTGGGTACCTAAAAATTCTGTCCTCTAATTTTCTTCATGATTTTGGTCTTCTGTCCTTTCTGATCTATTACAGTATATCTTTGCAGATTTCTATGTCAGCAACTACAACTTTAGTGAAGTTACTATTAGAAGAATGTAGACAGCTAGTATAATTTTGGTAATAGCTTGGAATAGGTCAGACAGATCTGTATTTGAAACTTAGGGCTGTACCATCAACCAGTTATGTGACCTTGGACCAAGTTTATTTATCTTCTATTTTAGTTTCCTCATCTTTAAATAATATTTCCCCATAAAGTTGTTTTAGGATGAAGTAAACCCACTTTTAAACAGCACTATCCTGCCTCCTGTTTCCCATGTATCCTGTTATTGTTTGTTCATTCATTTATTCATGCATTCATTAATTTATTGATTTAGTTTGCATTTCTCCCTTTGTATATTTCAAGGCTATACCATTCTTACTATGTTTCTTTTGATTTTGTCTCATCTTAACATCCACTTTTTTAGCATGTGACATATTTACATGCTTTCTGTCCTATAATACTGTACTGTCTCTTAAATTGCTTCTACATATTTTACCAGTCTACTAGAAATAATGTGATAAGTGGAAAAAGTTTAGGATTTGGAATTCCAGGTTAGGTACAGTCCTAACTCTACCAACTGGGTTTAGCTCTACCAACTGAGTTTTTAATCATTCTGTTGAATCTCATGAGCCTCAAATTCATTATCTAAAGAATGGGACTAGCAATAACAGCCTCAGCTATTTCACAAATGGTAACCAGTTAACCAGTTGCCATTAAGCTGAACCCAACCCATGGCGGCCCCATGTGTGTCAGAGTAGAACTCCATAGGGTTTTCAATGGCTGATTTTTCAAAAGTATATTGCCAGGTCTTTCTTCTGAGGACCTCTGGGTAGACTCAAACCTACAACCCTTCAGTTAGCAGCTGAACACATTAACCATATGTATTACCCAGGGACGTCTCATAAATAGTAAAGTGTTATAAGCAGCAGCATTAGAATTCTTTATTATAGCCTCCTCTTCCCATTTCCTTGATTCTTTAGTAAACTTATGGAAGTATCTTCTCATAAATCCAATGTCCCTTTCTGCCTTTTCTAGTCACTGCATGAAGTTAAAATTATTGCAGAGATGGTCTTAGGGCATTCTGCTTCTGCTATTATTGAGTACACCTTAATTCTCGTCTAGTGATATTTTTCTTTACTCCTCAGTTTTTCCTCCCACGTTGTCTGCATATATTTTTCTAAATTATATGCTAAGTTTCCTCTTTCCTTCTTGCCAAATCTGTATCACAATTATTTCTTTCATGAAAAGTTTACATGTACTTGAAGAATCTCTTCATTATGTAAGCTTGATAAAATGAAGAATTTAAATAAGTGATCATAAAACTTTGTAATAATTCATTAAAATTGAAAACCAAATTCTGAATTTTGGGGGAAAAAAAACCTTTTTCCTACTAATATAGTAAATGTTGTGGAGGATTGTAAGAAAAGTATATGACTCTATGTACTCAGAAAGCTTCTAATATAAGTGGAAAGATGACTTACAAACATGACACAATAAAAATGATACTCTTTAATCAGGTTCTAAGGGCGTATACTATAATTAGAGACCAATGAGATGTTCCTCCAAAGTAAAAATAATTTCTAATTATTATTGTATTATGTAATATATAAATGCTAAGTGCAATAATTTAAAAATCTTTAATTTACTATTATGATCCTTATATTTCCAATTTCACAACTTAGATATTACCTATTTACCTAGATAAAAGACTTGTATATGTGAAGAAGTTATATAAATTGTACTAAATAATTCATGTACTAAAATATCTTAATCTCATTTTAACAAAATAATCCTGAACCATACTCAGTGTGAAGGTTAATGTTATGTGTCAACTTGGCTAGGCCATGATTCTCAGTATTATGTAATTATCCTCCATTTTGTGATCTGATATAAGAGGAGTTTCCTTGAGGGTGTGTGGCCTGATGTATTATATATGGACGTTCTGGCAAAGCTCACTTGCTCTGTATCCTGCATCTGACTTGTCATCCTCTGACCTCCTGTTCTTGGGACAGGAGCAAGCAGCCTGCTGCCTGGCCTGCAGATTTTGGGATTAGTCAGCTCCCAGAACCCCATGAGCCAGCAGCCTTCTCCCTGCCAATTTTGGGTACGTCAACCCCTGCAACTATGTGAGTCAAGAAAAGCCTCCAGCCTGACGCTTAACCCACAAATTTGGGATTTGCCAGCCTCCACAACTGTCTGAGCCATTTCCCTGAAACAAATCTCTCTATATATCTATATATATACACTTCACTGGTTTTGTTCTTCTAAAGAACCCAACTTAAGACATTTGGTACCAAGAGTGATTTTAGAGGAACAAATTTTTTTTTTTTTAATTGTACTTTAGAGGAAGGTTTACAGAACAAACTAGCTTCTCATTAAACAGGTAGTACACAGACTGTTTTATGACATTGGTTAACAAACCCATGGCATGTCAGCACACTCCCTTCTTGACTTTGGGTTCCCTATTACCAGCTTTCCTGTCCCCTCCTGCCTTCTAGTCCTTGCCCCTGGGCTGGTGTGCCCCTTTAGTCTCATTTTGTTTTATGGGCCTGTATAATCTTTGGATGAAGGGTGAACCTCAGGAGTGAATTCATTACTGAGGTAAAAGGGTGTCCGGGGGCCATACTCTCGGGATTTCTCCAGTCTGTGTCAGGCCAGTAAGTCTGGTCGTTTTTGGGAGTTAGAATTTTGTTCTATGTTTTTGTCCAGCTCTGTCCAGGATCCTCTATTGTGATCCCTGTCAGAGCACTCACTGGTGGTAACCGGGCACCATCTAGTTGCACTGGACTCATTCTGGTGGAGGCCATGATATTTGTGGTCCATTAGTCCTTTGGACTGATCTTTCCCTTGTGTCTTTAGTTTTCTTCATTCTCCCTTGCTCCCAAAGGGGTGAGACCAGTGGATCATCTTAGATGGCTGCTCACAGGCTTTTAAGACCCCAGATGCTACTCACCAAAGTAGAACATAGAATGTTTTCTTTATAAACTATGTTATGCAAATTGAGCTAGATGTTCCCCGAGACCATGGAGGAACAAAATCTTAAGGATGAGTTTTCTGAATTGTTTCTCAAGTCTGGCTAGACCTAAATACACTGATGACTCTAATTCCAGTAAGGAAGAGGGCACAGCTAATCCATGGCATAAGGTGGCAGTAGAAATAATTAAAATATCACCACCACTGGATCAAATATTTGTGATAAACAAGGCTCTGAGTGATTGTGTATTTGATACCTTTAAGCATTTCTGTCAAACTGAGAAGTATAGGGAAGCTGGTTGGTTGGTACTGCTTTTACCAGACAAAGTGGTGAAGAAAGAGATGAGCTCATGGCTTCAGAGTTACAGCTCAAGCACCACATAAAAGAAAGTTCCCACTTACACCCTGAAAGAAAGCCTTATTTCTTGTAGTAACAGTGCTGACATTGCTGAAAACCAAACCCACAGTCTTAAGAGTGGCTAAAGTACAATGCCAACTGAATTCCCAACATCAAATGGTGTCTGAAATTAAAGTGAGAGCACTGATTGGGAAGAAATGGGATACTGAAACATGGGATGGGGAAATATGGGCAGATAATCAGGAAGCTGGGGACACTGAGCCCCTAAATTCCATTGAATCATTCCTGCCAACAGAACCAGCCCTCTTACTCCCATTGAAAGAGATTACTTCACCTTTGTCTGTAAAACCATTATCCCTTCTACCACCATCCAAAGAGATTAACCCATCTGTGTCTTAAGACCGTTTCTCTGAGATATCGCCTGAGGCAGCATCTGGGGCATTGCCTGGGGTATCACCTGAGGCAGATGCTTTACAAGAAGTTGTAGAATTGCCTAGGACCCACCCTCACCACCCATTTTTGTTTCTAGACCTATAACTAGACTTAAATC